CTCATATTAGTTTTATTTAAAATTCCACTTTTACTTCAAAGCTAATTCTCTTTGCATAACAAAAGCATATTAAATATTTATTTCAAGGTAACTCACAATTGAATGTTGAATTCAGTGAAACCCTAAATAGAATGAAATCCAATACCACTACTATTTTTCTCAGTGTGTAAACACACGCCGCAAAGTAGCCCATATAGCCGTGTATTTATAGTTGATGATCAAGTATTTATAGTGGCTGCTACGTGAGAACTTCAAGAACTTCAAAGGTATCTGATTTAAGTAGAAACTGAGCTGGCGATAATATACATACATGCATACATACACACATACATATATAAAATCGTGTAACTTAGACACTTCTTAGGGCTGTTCGCCATCTGGTGGCAATTAAATCGTATCAAGTGTCAAGTTCAGTTGCCACACTTTGATTTGCCGCAGTGCCCGCCAAGATGTAGCCGAAGGGCGTGCATGCTCGAGAGGTCGAGAGGACCTCGAATGCCACTTTCATGTGGTCTCCTCGAGCCACTCGTAGAGCTCTAATGAAATCCGCAGCCAATTGCAAATAAATGTCACACATCGGGGCACTCGCACAGCTGACACATTTGACTGTCTCGCTGGAGGGGCAAGGGACGGGCAGAGGGGCTGACTCAGTCTGAGGCGGCTTAACGAGCGTGGGGCGTGGCAGCAGCAGCGGCGGTTCATTGCTCCGGCGAGTAACAGATGTCAAGTATTATGGCTTGATGTCTATGTAGTGCACGCTACCGGAATGCCGAAATATTGTATATACGGAGCACAGACAACGAATTTAATTGCAAAGAATGTTTCCATGCCGACAAATGTCGAAATAATGTTTCTAGCCGGAGCAACCCGACAGCCGCAGCTGAACTGAACAGAGCAGAAACAACACGAAAGATTTATCATATTCAGTCGACTGTCATAAAAAGCAATTAGGCTTGAGCGAAAGATACTTACGAACGGCAGCCCGAGTCAGCCCAAAATCAGAAGTACAATGCAATAAAACACAAACAAGTGCGCCACACT